GTGGAAGAAAATGAAGAATGAAGAGAGAAGTATGTATACATTAGAAGCAAAGTCTTTGGCTGAAGAACAAAAACCTGACTGTTTAAATCCTGACTGTTGGAAAAGAAATTGATTCAGGCTCACAACAACAGTAAACCAGGATGCTCACATTAAGTTTGCATTTGCATGAACATAGACTGTTGATGAAATGACTTAAGACCATGGTCTCACCATTTGTACTGAATTTGTGTGACCACAGGATTCGTAGCATTGAGTGTTGAAATGATTTAATAATAAGAATGAGGACTTGCTTTCTCCATTAGAACTTAACTAAAACTATCAAGATGGTAAACCAAATTGCCTTATTTTTCTCCCAAAGTTCACATATGTATGTAAAGTAACATAGGTTTGAAAATTGATATCCTGTGGTGCTAAAGTACAGTAGAAAGAGAGGGGAAGTGTATACATGTTTTATTTATTATTTTTTAAATTTTCTATTTTTAAAGTAATTTTTATTGATTATGCTATTACAGTTTTCCCAGGTTTTCCCCCTTTATCCCCCTTCCACCCTGCCCCCCCAAACCTCTGGCATTCTCCCCCACCTAGTTCATGTCCATGGGTTGCACACATAAGTTCTTTGAGTCATCTGTTTCCTATACCATGTTTATCTCTCCCTATTTTATGCCTACCAATTATGCTTCTTCTTCCCTGTATTTTCCCCCCATTCCTCCCTTCTCCCTCCCCACTGAAGTCCCTCTATGTGATATCCATTTCTCCGATTCTGTTCCTGTTCTGGTTGTTTGCTTAGTTTTTCTTTTCATTAATTTTCTTTTCTTCTAGGTTCATTTGTTGATAATTGTGAGTTTGTTGTCATTTTACTGTTCATATTTTTGATTTTCTTTTTCTTAGATAAGTCCCTTTAACATTTCATATAATAATGGCTTGGTGATGATGAACTCCTTTAACTTGACCTTATCTGGGAAGCACTTTATCTGCCCTTCCACTCTAAATGAAAGCTTTGCTGGATAGAGCAATCTTGGATGCAGTTTCTTGCCTTTCATGACTTCAAATACTTCTTTCCAGCTCCTTGTTGTCTACAAGATTTCTTTTGAGACATCAGCTGATATCCTAATGGGCACCCCTTTGTAGGTAACTCTCTCCTTCCCCTTGCTTCTTGTAGGATTTTCTCTTTGTCTTTAATTTTGGGTAACGTGATGATGTGCCTTGGTGTGTTCCTCTTTGGGTCCAACTTCTTTGGGACTCTCTGGGCTTCCTGGACTTCCTGGAAGTCTATTTCCTTCACCAGATTGGGGAAATTTTCCTTCATTATTTGTTTAAATAAGTTTTCAATTTCTTGCTGTTGTTCTTCTCCTTCCAGCACCCCTATAATTCAGATATTGGAACATTTCAGGTTGTCTCAGACATTCCTCAGCCTCTCTACATTTTTTTTTATTCTTGTTTCTTCATTCTGATCCAGTTGGATGTTTATTTCTTCCTTCTGGTCCAAATTGTTGCTTTGAGTCCTGGTTTCTGTCACTGTTGGTTCTCTGAATATTTTGCTTTATTTCATTTTGGGTATCTTTCATTTTTTGACCAAGCTCAATCAGTTCTGTGAGCATTTTGATTACCAGAGCTTTAAATTCTCCATTAGGCAGGTTGGCAATCTCCTCTATGCTTAGTTCTGAGGTTTTGCTCTGTTCTTTCATTTGGGCCATATTTCTTTGTCTTGGTGCAGCTGCTAGTTGTAAGAGGGAGGGGCCTTAGGTATTCACCCAGGCAGGGCAACCCTCTTTGCTGCACTACCGCACTGCCTGTGGGGGAGCAGCCAGAGAGAGAACAGTGCAGCTCACTTGGCCCTCTGTAGCGCACTTTTCAATAAACTCTCTCTGTGAGACTGGGAGAGACTCCCATTGTGGCAACCCCAGCCAGGCCCAATCAGCTCAGAGGCTCATTTTTCCCTTTAAGTCAGCCCCTCCCTTGCAGCCTGGTGAGCTCAGCAGCCAGCCCCACCCCCCACAGTCCACTGTGTTGCCGCAATTTTTCTGAGTCAGTCAGCTTGGTCTGTTGCCTTACCCGTCTGGTTGTTCTGGTTGATTTTTTTCTTTAATTCCTTGGTTGTCAGAGTTCCATGCAGTTTTATTTTCTGGCGCTTTTGGTTGTTTATTGATTTTAGATTGGTTGTTACCCTCCTGTTGGTTGTGCGAGGAAGTGAAGGGATTCTACCTACACCTCCACCTTGGCTGGACCATGTTTTATTTTAAATTGTACAAAAGGGGAATTAAAAAATATGTAACTGCTCTTTATGCATTGTCTACTTACTGCTTATTAATCTGTATCATACATATAATGGAATGAGACAGAAGCTGGGAGTTGACCTTTCTTAGAGTTGACCACATGGCTCAGCTCTGTGCCAAACACAGGAGCTCCTAGTCTGGCCAGTACCAAGAGGCTATCAGAACATCTGGCAGGTGGTTGGTGTCAGCATCCCAGCATAAGAGCCACCTGGTGTAGTTACCTGAGCATGCTGAGTTTATGCACCAGGTGACAGCACCCACCCATTATTTCCAATGGAGAACTAGCACAGGCCAAGGTCAAGTTAATAGCATTGGGATACAGTGACTGTATTGGTGCTATTAACAGTTGATACCTTTGTATTTTACAACTTTACGTTCTCTGTCACCTCAGCACATATCTTAAGTTATCTTATTTTGTCATCATATTTTTATGGTGGGGCAGACTTTGCACTTATTGCAGTACAATACTTGCACTTTACTTTTCCTCCAACTGCCTAAAATTAGAGAAAATACATTAATAATACAGCTGCTTTTGTTCTGAGTTACATTCATGGCTTTCATTTACTTACCAAGTGGTGTTTCTGGTTAGGAATCACAGAGTTACATTGATTTCAGTTCATTACACTTTATGATATTGTCCCTAAATTTTGCACACTATATTATTTCAAATAAAATTTTTAAAATGTCTTTTTTTAAAAATTTATTTATTTTTAGAGAGGGAAGGGAGGGAGATAGAGAGAGAAACATCAATGTGTGGTTGCTGGGGGTTCTGGCCTGCAACCCAGGAATGTACCCTGGCTGGGAATCGAACCTGGGACACTTTGGTTCCCAGCCACCACTCAATCCACAGAGCTACGCCAGCCGGGGCTAAAGTGTCTTAACAAACAGCTAAAGATCGTACTATTTTTTCTATTAACATCACAACTGTCACCTGAAGACCATCATGGCCAATTCAAAGCCAACAGGAGTTCCCAACTTGGAGTATGATGAGGGTAGAGAGACTTTCTTCACTGCAAACAGCTCAATGGTAAAACAGAGTAGCTGGGGAACAGCCTGGATGTGGACCGTCTCTTATAAAGAACAACTCAGCTGTGACATAGTTCAATTATGAAACATCACAGCTGTGAGAGTCACAGCTGTGCAGCCAGACCCAGGCAGCTCTGGTGTTATAGCTCTGGTATTAAAACTCTGGTGAGACAGCGCTGTCAACGTTGGACTTCTGGCCAGAAAAACACAGCCTTTGAGGGAGACTGAAACCGCACTCCACCAAGACAAAAGTGAAGTCCTCTTAACACAGAGAAAAATTCCTGCCTCTGGTCCCTGATTGGCCTGTTCTTATGCAAACAAGGACTGCAAAGCCTCATAGTTAGATTGATCCAAAGAGCAGTCTCCTGATTGGTCAGAATGGAGCCAGTGATTGGTCAGTGAAGATGTAAATGAGGATTAGTTGCACAGCTCCAATTGGATAGGAAAGTCTCAGATCTATTGGTTGAAATATGATTCCAGAAACTCCTTTATAAAGGTTGGCTCAGGTGGTAGGAGTATAATGCAGGCATCCAGTTTAATGGAGGAGGCAGGCAGATTAGTGCTAGAGAAATAGGCACTAGGCTTAGGTGAGAGACCTGTTTATCAGTGACTGCTAGACTGTGTTAATAAATTCGAGCCTCATTACCCATCAGAAGCCCCTCTCAACAGGTGCGTGTATTCTCGGATCAACACAACCAAATATTTAAAAGCCTAACATAAATGTGCACTCAAATGTGAAATACGAGTCACATTATCATTTTAAATAGATTAGTATAAATTTAATATTTCTGAGGGCCCAAACAATTCTGTGTTCAAATCCAAGACAGGACTGATAAGACATGAATGAACCCTCCGCCCACCCCCTCCAAACCTTTAGTATTCTGGTTATCATGTGAATTAAAGTGGATTTTTAAAAAAAGCCTTTATGTTCACCAGCTTCCTTCCTTTCTTACATTATACTCTCTAATGATTGTATATATCATTTAAGTTTTTCCGGGTAATTGTCAACTTCTGAAGGTCAGAGCATTTGGCTTTAGGTGTTTCTATACTACCACGTATTTGTTATGCATTGTGTTACCCATGCAAAAAAGAGACATCTAGTTTCATGCTTAAATCAGCACTATGTCATGATCCACCAACAATTACGCAGTGAATGTTCAGTTGTAACTGAACGGTTTCCTTTCCACTTCAAGTATTCAAATGAGGAGGCCAGTCAAACTACACCCTGGTGTAAACCTCCCAGTCCAGTCTCTCCTGACTTTTATAAATGAGTACATCCTGGCTTTAGGAAAGAAAGGACTATCTGCAGATGGGTTTGAGCGCCTTTGGGGCTCATTCTTTCCACTACAGCGCCCCACCAAGAACAGAAGACAAAGCCGAGATCCCGAGACCTCGCACCCGGGTTGGGCCCAAGAACGTCTTTCCCCGGGTGGCTTGGACGCCTGGCGTGAAGAACTACCGCAGAGCGACCGCACGAAGCAAGCTGACACGGGGGAATGGGGAGGGAGAAAGAGGTCAACTCTGGTCCCGGTTCCGTCACAGCTAATCCGGCGGACAGAGAAGCCAGACACAGTGACGCTCCGAGTGAGGCGAGCAGCGCGGGAGAGGAAAGACAACTAGTCCCTCCAGGAGGGCGCGCGGAGCGGGAGGAGGGGCGGGGCACGGCGCGGCGCGGCTTGAGGGCGCAGGGAGGCGTTTGCGCGCACGCGCTTGAGTGCGCGCCCGGTGGGGCGGGCCGGGACTCACCGCTCTCACGCCCTTGGGCCCAGGCCCGGCGACCGCTTTCCTTTCCGCTTCCGACCCGCGCCTTGTTGGTGGAGTCAGTGTATGTGCGGCAATAACATGTCTGCCCCGCTTCCCGCCATCGTACCCGCCGCCCGGAAGGCCACCGCTGCGGTGAGTGGCGGCGGCCGGAGCTCGGAGGGGCCCGCTGGGCTCACTGCGGCTGACTGTCCCTCGCTCGGGGTTGACTTCGCAGGCGGGTGGATGAGGACACTCCGCCCTTACGGAGTGGGGTGGAATGGTGGGCAATCCCGGGGGCCAGCTCTGTGATGAGAGCGCTGGGTTCGCAACCGGATCGGGAGGGTCAGCTCCCCACCCCCCACACCCTTCCCAGCCCAGAGCCGGAGTCCTCTGCCTTGCGGAGCGAGTGTGGCCCGCGGGACCCCGGGTTTCCCGGCTGCTTAGCTCCAGCTTGGAGTGACCGGCGTTAGTGAAGAGGCGCTATAACTCGAGGTGGCTCAATAGCGTGTTTCTGTCTTGATTGTGGATGCAGGAAGTCTTAAGTCCGGAAAAAACATGCATACATATATAATTTATTTAGTTTGCAGTCTCCTCATAAATTAAATAAGTTTGGAGGTTTAGTGTAAGGTCAGAGGTGGTGTTTTTTAGGGAACTCAGGATTTCAAACTTATTCTTACCTCTGGAAGTTCCTTTTTTTCTGATGGAAAAATTCTACAGTATAAATGAAACCTTTCATGTTTTGACTTGAAAGAGACTTTTTCTTAGAATGCGATAATTTGCACTGAAGAATGCCTGAGTGGGACCTCTTTCTGTTCTGAAACCCCACATTAATTATTTTCAGAACTACAAGAAGTTAAATATTTTTGCCATTTAAGAGATGTGGGTAGAGATTAACTTGCTGAAGGTAGGATTCTATGATTCTGGCATCTACCTTAATTAAAGCTACAGTGTGTAACAATTCCATGTCGGTTTATTTAGGCACTGCTTATTAATTTTTCCTCTTCTTGTCTAGGTGATTTTCCTTCATGGATTGGGAGATACAGGGTATGTAACATTATTATAGCACCAGTAATAAAATGGGGTCATACAACTTTCTCTACCTAAGATGTAGTCTAAATGATCAAAGGTTTTATATTTAAGAACCCTAGGATTGTATATTTAAAAAAAGATTGCTACTAGTATTCTTACAGTCTAGTGGTAAGATACAATCTTTTCATTTTTGAAACCCCCAGAATTTTTCCTTTATCTTGAATTTGTCATTTTTCAACTCCTGTTTCTGGAACATTAAAATCGCAAATTCCTCCTTGAGTTGCTGTGTTGTATTGGATAGCAGAGATGGATGGAATGTTTGAGCTTTCCAGAGGAGTTAAAATTTCGGTGCAGGTTTAGAAGAACTGGTTGATTTTGATAGCAATGTGTGCTCACTATGCAGCATTCTAAATGAGAGCTTAGATGTTCCCTGAAAAAGAAAAAATCAGTTGAAGCAACTCAAAGATTTCTGGAGGTTTGCCAAACAAATTTTGTTGTGCTAACTTTAGATAAATGATTTATCTTTCAGTCAAGCTATTTCCATATTGAGAGGTTTTGTTTTTAATTTAAGTCAATGATTATCTGTTTGAAACTTAGGTAAAGTTGTGAGAAATTGTTACAAAATTGTAGACTAGGAAGAAAACTGAAGATAGATACATTTTGATAAAGTAGCCAAAAAAACAGTTAAGTCTTTATAGGGAGGTGGGTTAAAATATTTTTTCTTTCTTTTTAGATTAATTTTTAAAGGCAATTCCTGATATTCTTTTATGCTTACTAAGTAGAGGCAACATGACAGTGATACATAACTGTGTGGCGTAACAGAAAGATAAGTAGGACTATTTTCTGGCAATCAGGTAGTCCTATGAGAAGGACAGGTTTGTTTTACTAAACAGGTGTAGAAAAGCTGTTTTATAACTAAACCATTCTTGATGCTGAGAACTAGGGAGGAAACTTGGTATCTTGTAATGTTCCCATTAAAGAGAGCTCCTAGGCCTGAAGAATCAGTTCAAGAGAGAAAACAACAACAAAAAAATGAAAACAGTATAGGAAGGTTCTCTGTGGACCCCAGTTTAGCCAGATTTCATAGACTGAAGTTAAGAGTGGAAATGAACAACGTGAAATTAGAAATAACCAAGAGCATCCATGACATACTAAGAATTAAATTTATATTAAACTATAAAGGTCTCCTCCAGGCCTGAAAGTACTTTGTAGATAACACTAAAGAAAAACTGACTAGTTTGGTTCCATGAACACATGGTGAAATTCAGAACAAACCAATCAGACAAGTGGCAATTTAATATTTAGATGCTTTTGGAGAACTAAAGTACATTTGTCAGGTTAACTTGGAGGATGTTGGAACTTATCATTGGCCCATGCTGGGGCAAACTTATAATGGCCACCGTAACGAGAAGGTGTTTTAAGACCCATAAATGAACCAGGCCACTCCATAGATTATAACAGAATTTATTATAGGGTAATTTACTTACTGGAAGATTGGGTCAGAACAGAGAAGATGACCTAGCAGTCTGCCTAGATTATGCTCTGCTGACAGATCCCTGTTACAGTACTTTTTTAATAGTATAATCTGGGTGCTGGTGACTGACAGGAAAAAGGGACAAAGAATGTATTAGTGGTGGGGGCCATACCTCCTGGTGGGGTTGTGATTTACTCAGTACTAGCAGCAGTTTGATACTTGTCTCAGTTGTCATGCTATTCTGGCTATTACTAACAAAAATATTTGTGGCCACATTTTAAGGAACACAGATAATCATGAGCTAGAAAGCTTCCTTATGCTTGCTGGGGACAGAAAGTGGTCAGAGGTTACAGCATGAAATCTGGGACACAGAGGTGAAGTTGGTTTAGTTTACATCTACATCTATACAAGTTTGTTGCTGTAAAAATGGGCAGCTTTTGTCCTTTTTTTGTTGTTGTTGAGGTTCTTTTTTTGCAGAACCAGCCAACATGTGCAGTCTGGAAACTGAGGCCTTGCAGTCTTTGTCCTTTAGATTTCTCATGAAAAAATGTGGTGGCTGAATAAAATGGGAGACCATATAATTACATATTTTCTCAATTTTAATATGTCATTTTCCCCACATTTTTATGTTTCTGAGATTGACACTACATGTGGTAGTAATTGTTTTTTTCATAAAAACTTTTTTTTTCAGTGGTGCCTCTTATAATTTTTAATTCTGGGAAATATGCCATTCTCCTCTTGAAGATTTACAGCCAATGCACTAGCATGTTTAAAGCTCTGAAAAGATCTGCAATAAAGAAACACATCTGACTACCAGGTGTTCCTGTTGATAACATATATAATAAACTGTGAAACTAGAATTCAAAGAAATGTTTTAGACCATACTATATTGCTTGAGATCACAGTTTTCTTTGCAAAATAAAAATAGTGTTTGTTATGATTATGGAAGTGTTATATTTGTATTATAAAAAATTAAAAATGCAAATATGCTTGAGAAGATAACGTAGAAGAGTTGCAGGAATAACACAGATTTTTCAATAACTTTTGTCTAGATTCATTAATCTCTACAAAATGTTACTGTTTGTTGAATACTTTGAATTGCAGATATAATTCTTTATTGCCAGACACTAGCATGTACCTCCTGAGAACAAGGAGAGCCTCTTATATAACCACAGAATAGTTAACCAGATTCAGGAAATTTAGCACTTGTTTAATATTTAATGTTAGTATTGATTATACTACATATACAGACTTTGTCAGTTGTCCCATTAAAGTCCTTTGTAGTAATCCACACCCCCAAACACAATTCCCCCCATCCCGCCCGCATCACTAACCCATAATCCAATTCTTAGTCACATGTTACATTTAGTTTTTTAGTCTCTTAATCTGGAATCATTCCTCAGGTCTTTGTCTTTCATGACACTGACATTGTTGCAGAGATCAGGCTAGTGTCTCAATTTAGGTTTGTTTGACATTTCCTCACTATTAGATTCAGTTTGTGCTTTTTTGGTATGAATACCGTATAGGTGAAAAGACCTGTTCAGTGCAAATGATAGGAAGCAAGTTCAATAGGAAGCAAGTGATGTTCTTTGTCCCATTAGGGATGCTAACTCATAAAGGTGATTATCTTCCAGGTTTCTCTACTTTACTTATTTTCCCATGGTAGGTAAAAAGCAAGTTGTGGGGATATTCTTTGAGGTGATGCAAATTGTACATCTCATAAAGCTATTTTTTAGCTTACTGATACTTGTCTCAGTTGTCATACTATTATATAGAAAAACAAAACTGTTTCCACAATTTTGTGAATTTTTCAGTTTTCTGTATTGATTTCTAACTTTATCTGTGGTCTTAGAAGTCACTTTGTATGGTATCTATCTATTAAAATCTATTGGGACTTAATTTGTGGCCTAACTTATGGTCTGTCCTGGAAAATGTCCCATTGTACTTGGGAAGAACATGTACACTGCTGTTGTTGGGTAGAGTGCTCTGTATATGTTTGTTAGACCTAGGTGGTTTATTGCATTAATTCTTCTATTTCCTTACTTATCTTGTGTCTGGTTGTCCTGTCTATTAATTGAGAGCAGGGTACTGAAGTCTTCAGCTATTAATTGTAGAGCTTTAGGCTTCTTTCTTCAATTGTTTCAAGTTTTTGCCTCATATTTTGATGGTCTGAGTTATGAGCATGAATTTTTATAATTGATATATCTTACTATATTGAATCTTTTATTAATATATATTGTCCTCCTTTATCTCTTAACATTTTTTCTGATTTAAAGACTAGTTTGTCTGATGTTAGTATAGGCACCTTTTTTAAGAAATAAAAAAACACACGGGATATCTTTTTTCCATCCATTCACTTTTAATTTGTGCCTTTGGAACTCAATTGAGTCTCTTATTCATAGTACATAGTTGAATCAAGTATTTTTATCTATTTTGCCAACTAAAATGTCCAATAAAAGAATATTTGGTAAATTAGAATTCCAGCCATATACATGCAAAAAAGTATATTCTAAAACTGTAGATACAGTAAATTCCCATAAATATAGAAGCATATTCACTGAAATGTTGATTTATTTATCTTGATTGTACCGTTAAACATGCTCTTCAATTTCCTTTGTTTTACTTTTTCACCTAATTGTAATAAAGGAACAAAACCCACTACAGTGTGTGTGTATGTGTCTCTGTGTGATGGGGAAAACATCTTACAACTGCTTCCTATAGGTCCTTTTTTAATCTCCATAGCTGAAAGTAACTTTATCCTTTACCATATTGTGACATTTTTCTTAATTTTTGTAGTGCTTAAATTTTCATTTGTACAGTTTATTTATATCTTGTTTCTCCTACTAGATTACAGGTTCATGGAGGGCATAGTCCATATCTTAATCTTTCAATCTTTCATGCATGTAGAATAGTTAAATGAATAGTTATGATTATTTTTTAAAATTCTAGGTTTTTTTAAAACATGTGTTTTCTTAAAAGAAAGGCATTTTCCTCGGCTGTTCATTAGGCTAAGGTATTGACCAAAGACTATGTGTCTAATTAAGGAAAAATAGTGGTTTATGTTGTTAAAATATAAAAGTAGCTAAAAGTACAACGTATCCTAGAAAAAAAACAAAATAGAGATGATTAATTCATATTAATAATGGTGAAATTCCATTTTGAGCACAAATAGTGGGCGAAATCACAAATACTTAAGGTTTAATGTGATATTGCTTCACTATATATTTAAATTGCCTCAACAGCATCACCTCATAGAGGGCCCCAAAATAGTGAGTAAGCCAGAAGGCATTTGAACTGTAGAGTCTATATCCTAAAGCTCTTGTACTTTACCACACTGGACTCTACCTTTTTTATTCTTAGCCAAATGTATTTGTTATGTATATATAAGAGCTACAAAAGGGCATAAGTATTCAAAAAGTCAGGTATAAGAACCTTTTGGTATGGAGAAAAATAGTTGAGGTTTTACTGCTGTAAGAACAATTCTAAAATTAACATACAAAATTTTAAATTTTATTCTTTTTTTAATTTTATTTTAATTGTTCAAGTACAGTTTTCTATCTTTTACTCCCATTCCAGCCCACCCACCCAGCCATCCCCAGCTCCCTCCCATTCCCCCCACCCCTGTTTTTGTCCATGTGACCTTTATACTTGTTCCTATAAACCCCTCCCCTTTTCCCCTGAAATTTATTTTTTTTCTATAGTCACAATTATTTGTCTTTACTTCTAATAAACTTTTAAAGTGGCTTTACTTTATAAAATATAAGGGTGTGAGTTTGACATCCACATTAGCTGGCCATGTTAAGTCAGGCTTTCATTATATGTAGTAATGCTTTGGGGAACATAATTGAAGCTATTCCAGTTTGGATTTTTAATAGAAAATTATATTTTATAAGTGTTATTTTTAGTGACTATACATTCCCAAAGTTGTAATTACCAGAAATAATAAAATGAAATTTAGGATTTATTTATGTTGGGGGGTAACAACCCCCAAGTTGTTACCACAAATTCTGAAATAGAAGATACAGTGATGATACACTTAAGAAACTGAAAATAAAATGGAGAAAAACTAAAATGGCGTACATAAAAGTATTATCAGTGACCACGGATAACACATTTTATGACATGACTATACTGTTAACTTCTTCAGGGGTAGCAGATATTTTAAATGCTGCTTGGAGTACCATGTTGAAAAGATCTCTAAGTGTGTCAGAGAGTGTGGTAAATGTCTGCTCTGGGCTCAGGATCTGGGACTAGCAGCCCATATGCTAGGTATTTATTATAGCTACGTAATATTGTTCGTTATACGCTGGAAAACGAAAGAGTACTATTTGCAAAGCTAACTATCTGCATATTTAGGAACATTATTTCTAATTCTAACAAATAAATATATTGAATAATATCACTATAAAGTCAATAGTGCATAATAAATTGAAGTGTAAAACAGAAAAAGCTTTGAAAAACTGATTAGAGTGGTTTTGACATAGGTCTGTAATACATACTTGAGTCAATTAATATGACACATGGGTTACCTGTCCTGCATATTAAATATAAATGGAATCATAGAGTTTGTGGTCTTCTGTAATTAGCTTCTTTTACTTAACACATCTATCTTTGAAGAAATGTCTCATCATGCCCTTTAACTCATTTATAAGTTAGGTGGTCTTTTTGTTTATGAATTATAAGAGTTCTTTATATATTATAGATTCTAAGCCCTTATTAGATATGATTTGCAAATATTTCCCTCTTTTTGTAGGTTGTCTTTTCACTTCATACTGTCTTTTGAAGCACAGCAATTTTTAATTTTGATGATTAAATATTTTTCTTTGTTGCTTATGCTTGTGGTCACATATCGAAGAAACCATTGCCAAGTGTAAGTTCACAAAGATTTTTGTATATTTTCTTCTAGGAGTTTTATAATTTTGTCTCTTACATTAGGCCTTTAAGATATTTTGAATTATTTTTTTTTTAAGATTTTATTTCTTTTTAGACAGAGGGGAAGGGAGGGAGAAAGAGAGGGAGAGAAACATCAATGTGTGGTTGCCTCTCACATGCCCTCTACTGGGGACCTGGCCTGCAACCCAGGCATGTGCCCTGACTGGGAATCAAACCAGCCACCCTTTGGTTTGCCTGCTGGTGCTCAATCCACTGAGCCACACCAGCCAGGGCCTGAGTTAATTTTTATATGTAGTAGGAGGTAGCCCAACTTCATTCTGTTGCATGTGGTTATCTACTTAATCTCAGCTACTTTTGTTGAAGTGACTCTTCTTTCCCTATTTACTTATTTGGACATTCTTTTCAGAAATAGGTTGACCGTAAATGTAAGTGTTTATTTGTATATTCTCAAATCTATTCCATTGATTTATAGGTCTTATTTCAGTACCACACTATTTTTATTACTGTTGCTTTGTAGTAACTTTTGAAATTGGCAATTGTGAGTCTTTCAACGTTATTATTAAGATTGTTTTGGCTATTTTAGGTCTGTTGAGTGTCCAAATGAATTTTAGAATTGGCTTGTCTGCAAAGTCAGCTGAGATTCTGTTAAGAGATTGCATTGACTCTCAATTTGGGGAGCACTGCCATCTGAAGAAAATATTAAGTCTTCTAGTCCATGAATGGGATTGTTCATTTATATAGATTTTTATTTGTTTCAACGTGTTTTGTAGTTTTCATAGTAAAGTCTTATATATACAAGCAATACACACACATGAACTCACATACAAGCATGCATATATACATATGTGCACACATTTACAACTCCTAGAATAATGCCTAGTTCATAGTGTTATATAATTGTTAATGTTGTTATTAATTTTTCAATATGTCCTTAATACTTTTGGGGAAGGGGCATTAAAAATAGAGAAATAGTTAACAGAAAAGGATTTCACATTTATTTTCAGACTATTTTACACACAAAAAGCTTAAGTTACTTTTACTTTATCCTTTAATACAGGTAACATATAAAAAGTATCAGATATAATGTCAAGTATAAACAAACAAGAAATTATGTATGTATAGTAAAAATTTGTATTTCTTAAGCGATATGCATAGAAAACATTAGAAGGAAATATATCAAAAAATTAACTGCTTATTTCTGACTGGAAGGATTATGATGATTTACAGTTTTTCTCATTCTATTTTGAACATATACACATGTACATAAACACATGAAAGAATGCTCAGTAAATTTATGTATTTTATTTTATTTAAGATTTTATTTATTTTAGAGAGTGGGGAGGGAAACATTGATGTGTGAGAGATATATTGATCGGTTGCCTCTTGCACACCCCCCAACTGGGGACTTGGCCTGCAACCCAGACATGTGCCCTGACTGGGAATCCAACCAGTGACCTTTCAGTTCACAGGCTGGCACTCTATCCACTGAACCACACCAGCCAGAGCTCACTGAATTTATTTTTAATAATGTAGTAACCATGCAGAGATATTAGACAACTGATTTACTTTACTCTCTGAAGCTTTTTTCTTTATATAAATTACGAAATTACGAATTTTATTATCGATGTTGCCTAAATTATTAGGCACATTGTTATGAAGTTATAAAGAAATAAAAATATATATTTTGTAAATTATAAAGCCCTGTGGAAATAAGTGAAGGAAAATACACTTCTCTTCAGGAATCACAAGAAATCATCTTTATCCATAGGTAAAGCTTAAACAATAGTCTTTGGGTTTCCAGATTGGTGCTGGTATTTTAATAGCATTGATGGTCCATACTTTTAAGACATTTTAAGGAGTTAACATTTATTCCCACAAACTTTTTAAAAATACTGTTCTATAACTAATGTATTGGGAATTAAAACAATATCTAATGGGATTGTTCAAATAATTTATCTACCAGGCATGGATGGGCAGAAGCCTTTGCAGGTATCAGAAGTTCACATATCAAATATATCTGCCCACATGCGTAAGTATGTATTTTTAATCTTTATGCTTGTGATTCAGTTTGGAGAGGAATAACTGTAGTAGATTTACTTTTGTAGAAAAGCATTTGAATATAATTAATTTTAAATTTTTGAATACTCAGTTAAAAATAAAGATTAGAGTATACCTGAAACTAATGCAAAATACTATTGAATGTAAGCTGTATTTGAAAAATAAAATTTTTTAAAAGTCAAAAAATTAAAGATTGGTAAATTGTTAACAACTAAAATAGTATCTTGGTTTTATTGAATTTTTTCTCTTCTGTTGAGAAATTTAATAAGGTTCTCTTGGAGATCAGTTGAACTCATAGCTAGAAAATTTTTTTAAAATATGCAAATACTTTTTTAAGTTTTAATATGCATGAACTGTCTCTAAAGGGGATTTACCTGCTAGGTTTGTAAGAAATCTTTACTGTGTTTAAGACACTCCTAATTTTATTGATTAGAGACAATATGTGATGTACTGTGGAAAGAACATAGACTTTGGAGTTTGATAGATTTAGTTTAGAATTCTGAAAATGTTTGTGGATGTCAAATAAACTAGGACATTTTGAGCAAGCTCAGAAAATCAGTAAGTTGGGCAAGTTTTTAGGTCAAAGGCTACTGAGAAGCAATAGCCATGGATAAGACAAATGGGATTAGGTACATGCTAGTAAGTTAGTAATTCATCCTCAGAAGTAGGAGTAGCAGTAGAGGTGATAAATATGAAAGTGGAAATGGAAAGAGGAAGTATACCTGAGATTAGGTAAGGAAACAGTCCTTCTCTTTTTATCCTAAAATAGAAGGCTTATCATCTTACCACTGCAGGCTACAAAAGTATACAATGGTTAGGGTTGTTGTGTCATCTGTTATTCTGACTCATGCAAGAAACTGAATTCTTGATGATACTGGAATTTATCTTACATTGTTACTGGCCCCAGAATTGAATTTGGCTTAAGGCTATTTCCCAACCTAGGAAAGTTTATTTCTCAAAGAAATTTTGATAAGATTTTGTGGCCTCTAAGGTATACTTATTTCATGAGTCAGGAAAATAGTGGTGAGATGTATTTACAGTGTATGTATTTTTCTTTCCTTTTGTACCTAGTTACATTCAGGTTATCTAGCAAATTTTTCATCACAAATTTGAATCGAGTGTAATGAGCATTAAGGCAAAACTTATCTTTCTCATTTAATAGTCTCTTAAATAAGGAGATAAATAGCTAACAACTAGAAAATAAGCAAAAATGTAATCTGAACATACAGGAATTGTTGCTACAATATCTGCAATAAATTGCTTAGATTTTTAGCCTTAGAGAGTCTCATATTTTATACTTTTCAACTGTCTTGGTGACTGGTTTTCCTTCTCATGTTTACTTTGAAAGTGTTAAGGTAGGGTGTTGAGAAAGGAAAATGTTTATTTGTCAAACTTAGTTCTGTCCAGCTGCTGCTCTGTTTTCAGAGCACACTTGCAGGGTGTGGATCCTGTGAAACATGTTAAAATCATAGCATAGTTTTGCATAAGCCTCAAGTAATTATCTTTAATTTATGGAATTTTATCAGGTCTTACGCTTTGTTAGATTATTCTTATTTTGTTGTTTTTTCCCCCCATGTAGACCAGTTATGCCTGTAACATTAAATATGAACATGGCTATGCCTTCTTGGTAAGTAATAATTTACTTTAATCAATAAGAATTTATTTATACTTAGCTTTCAATCAGAAATGCTTTTGAGTATAGCAATTTTTAATTAGCTATTTTTAAGTTGCAAAGTTATATAACTCATTTTAAATTTAGCCTTTATTTAATTATTTAAGTTTTTATATTTTAAACTCAGAGTAAATGTAAGGAGCTGCACCAACAGGTAGAGAAAACAGGAGAGAATGGGTGAATAGAAATACTGCAGAAAATATCTCCTACTGTTTGATGAACCTTTGTTGATTTTAGTAACCAAACATTTGAAGACACCGTGTGGCAATCACTCTGATTAAGCCACAGCTTCTTTATCCTCCTTCAACTCTTTCCCTTTCTGGAAAGCTGGTGAGTTTTTAAGGAAACCATTTCCTCTTGGGCCCCCTTAAGATATTTTTGCACTCCCCATTTGCTCTATTGTTAGGAAGTAGAGTCAGTTCTTCATTCCTCTGAGCCACTTCTAGACTTTTTTTTTTCTTGCTGCTCTCTGAAACTCCTGCCACGGGTTTTTAAAAATTGATGACTTCGACACCTGATTAGTGTTCTCCTTTCCATTCTATTTCATGCCACCATTTTATCTTTTGAGTGACTACATGATTCAATGCAACATGTGTTCATAACCTTCACTGGCTTTTTACTTCCTTGGCTTTTCTCTTCCACAGTGACATTTTCTTCTTTCACCCTTGGTCATCCGCAGTCATTCTTTGTCATCTGGGACTATGCCATCTCTAAAGTCACTTAATTCAAATCTGATATCTAGAATAAGTACTCATCCTTTGAGTTTGCTTCACTGTTTCTACACTATTTTTCTTTGACCTCATCAGCACTTTAGTCTGCTGTTCTCCTCTCTACTTGTTCCCACCAATCTACCCATCCCTGTACTTCCTGCTTTATCTCTTTTAAATTTCTTGGCACCTTTTATAAGTTCCTGCTTATGTTGGCCCTTGGTTCTTTCATCTTCCCTTGGTGGCAAAATTTCTGTCCAGAACCAAAATTTTTACCTAATGTCTCTTGAGACCATAATGAAAGCATACTACAACCTGATAGAGAAGTAGAAAAGCCAAAGGAAAGCCTCTTTTGGTTTCTGGTTTCAGATATCTACAATATGTGATAAAAAGGTTTTACAGAGTATATAGGTAGAGATCAGTATAAACACCTTGTTCAATAGGTATGGGGTAGCACATGCAAGAATGACATAATAAAGTGGCTGTATTCCATTGTGTTGACTTAAGATGCAATAGAAGAGGAAGTGAACAGCTGGAATTTATTGCAAACTTCTTAGGAGTGTGGGTTGAGATTCCTGCTTGGGTGCAAGATTGGACTAGATAATCTCTTAGATATTTTTATCCTAAAATTATGTGGCAATGTGACTTTTTAACATTAGAAGCTATATCTAGTTGGCATGAAAGGAACTTGTAGAATGCCCAATTAATGCATTCTGTTTCACCTCTGAAGACATTTTGAGTTTCATGTTTCATGTTCTGGAGGATGTATGGTCAGCCCTTTTTATCCCAACTACTATGAGTTGGTAAAACATACTTACCAAGAGTAGATATTCTGAGAATCAATTGTTTCTTTTAAGATTGTGCCTTATTTTCCAGGTTTGATATTATTGGGCTTTCACCAGATTCGCAGGAGGATGAACCTGGAATTAAACAGGCAGCAGAAAATGGTAAGTACAGAAAAGTTTTATAAACAGAAGCATTTAAAATATTTTTAGTAAATTGGATAGTTTTATTGATGTTGATGAAATATTACACAATTATCTAAACTGAGGAGGTGGTGCTGTTTCCTTCCTTTTTGATCACTCTCTAACTTGTTTGCCATAATGGCCCCATGAACTCACCTGTCTGTGCTCAGTGAGGGTGAGGTACATAGGGAGGAATGGTAATTATTAAACTTTAACTGTTGGATACATTATTTTGCTCTGGTTTATATATCAGATGGAGAAAATAACAATGTTTAATAGTTGTGGCCTGGTATCTTTTTTAAGGAGACTTTAAATAAGGATGACAATAATGATATAATGATGTAATGATATATAATGAAAACTATATTAATGGTTAGTTTTAGTGTGATAATATTAAACAAGCTAGGATCAGGGGTGTCAAACTCATTTTCATTGGGGGCCACATCAGCCTCACGGTTGCCTTCAAAGAGCTGAGTGTAATTTCCACTCCTTAACAGATAAGGAGTAGTTACATTTATACAGTTCTAAAATTATTTTGGCCCTTTGAAGGCAACCGTGAGGCTGATGTGGCCCCTGGTAAAAATGAGTTTGACACCCCATGAGCTAGGTAATTCTTATAGATCACCTCATTTGGTACTCCTATGAAATAAGTATTAGCGCTACTTTATGGAATCTCCATAGTCTGTTCTCTGGTTAGTATTCTGTGCTCCCTTATGACTATGGTAATTTTGTTTACTTTGTTGTGTGCGAAGGCATAAAGAACATGGACTTAATTGGGAAAAATCTTGGTTTAGAAAATGCGCAGAAACATCCTTTTATTTTACACGTATGTACTGAAATATTTACCAAATGGACAATGTTATGACTGGAATTAACTTCAGAATAACCTGGGTGGTAACACAACAGGCATTGATGAAACAAGCTTGGCTATGAATTGATCATTTCAGAAGTAAGGTAATGTATACCCAGGGATTCATTGCACACTTCTCCTATTTTTTTGTTTGTTTGAAATTTTTCAAAATAGCTTTAAAATGCAAAACCAGTAGGATCCTTTAAAAATATCTAAAAAAAAGTTTATAAGAACTTATTAACTTCAAAACAGTAAAGAAAGTGCATTTGAAATACCTTAGATATTTAGGAATGTCAAATTAAGAACACTGACTTTTAGGATCATCAAAAAGTGGATCAAAGCTAGAATCCTGTACCTAGGTGTTTGTCAAAAAATAATAGATAACAAAAACATGTGTTGGGTATGGTAATGAATTGTGAGACCCTATGGAAGATAGGAGCTGGGCTTTGTGTAGAAGACAGGTGGGCCTGGTGAGTTCCAGAATAAAGAAAGTTTTATCCTAATGATAGAATTAGCCTGTGACATACTTGCAGTTTCTTACCTGTCTGAGGTGATGTATTATTGGAGAGCATTAGACTCAGACTCAGTGCTGGGAAAGAAAGGACTCTATTTGAGGGCTGAGAGACTGTGCTGCTGAATAAAGAAAAGAGTGCTTTAGGCCTAGGTCCTGGAGCACAGCAGTGTCCTTGCCCTTAATACAGAAGGGGATAGAAATTAGAAGCCATTTCTCCACAACTGACTGCTGCCATTGTAGCTTGTTAACTTTATCTAGGCAGTTGGTGTAACTATGTGGTGTAAAACTTTGTGAAACTGAGGGAAAATACTCCCAACAGCACCTGACTGACTGCCAGCTAACATTCACCAAGCCCCAACCACAGCCTTCCTTTCTCACAGATGGACTGTTTTGTGCCACTTCTGCATCTTTGAGGCTTTGTGTCTCCCTTAAGTAAATCCTTCATACTTCTCAACAGTTCTTTATTTCTTAAGTCCTCTTTATTGTTCTCTAGTCCATTCTCCCATGCCATGACCAAGGTACCTTTAGCTTTTCATACTATTTCTAACTAAAAACTAAAGTATACAAAAGCAAAACAATTTTTAATTTGAGCATTTGGATTTTTTTACAGTGTTATAATAAAAGCATATTTTTGGATTTTGATAAAAAGGAAATGTAAATGTGAGAATTTTAGGTTTAAAAATGAAAATCTTGCATATATGTCAAAAATGAAAGAAGATAAATTTGTTAAAGGTGCAGTTAGTTCTAAAACTCAGACTGATTATAAAGGAAATTTGAGGAGGTATCAAGTCTTACCTTTAATGATGTGTGCCAACTTCAGTTTTTTATTTTTTTAAGATTTTTATTTATTTATTTTTAGAGAGGGAAAGGGAGGGAGAAACATCAATGTGTGGTTGCCTCTTGTGCACCCCCTACTGGGAACCTGGCCAGAAACTCAGGCATGTGCCCTAACTGGGAATTGAATCAGCAACTCTTGGTTCGCAGGCTGGCACTCAATCTATTGGGCCACACCAGCCAGGGCATATTTTGCAGAAGGAAAAGAACTCATTTGTTTTTCCCCCCATGTCATTTACTGTTTACAGGAATAACAAATAACAAATAAATTTAATTTTCAATAGAATGAATTGCTTAAACATTGTAAATCACAAACCATTTAATCTACTTAATTACTTAAAATTTTAAATTACAGCTTTTCGGCACAAATGCCTATGATTCCTTGAAGAGAAATATAAAATGTATTTGAGCAGAATTGACCATAGATAAAGAATATTCATATATTAATGAGAGGAATAACTGTTGTTTACAAACTGTGTAACAAGAAATAATTGAACAGTGTAAGCATTACCTGCAAAATCTGAGTTTTATAATGAAATTGCATTCTGATTTTGTATTTTAATAGAATGCTTCAGGTTTTTACTTGTTTTGACCTTTAATATATGTTGTGTTTTTCTGTCATTAATTTTTTCTGTTTAAATTCTTTCAATGGCCTCAACTTTGAAACTATTGGTAATTTAACTTTCATGTTGTGTTTAGTAAAAGCCTTGATAGAGCAAGAAGTGAAGAATGGCATTCCTTCAAACAGAATTATTTTGGGAGGATTTTCTCAGGTAAGATAAAATTTGGGTAGTATGGCAATACTGTTTGTATGTTTATCTAGAAGTCTGGTTTCAGTCCTTTTCTGTGGGGGAGTCCTTTTTTAGAAGATGTTACAGAAACTGATATACTACTTACCTTTTTAAAAAAACAATATAGAGATGTTAAGACTATTGTAGATTTCTCTTTTTTTTAGATTTTTATTTATTTATCTTTAGAGAGTGAGGAGGGAGGGAGAAAGAGTGAGAGGATCATTGATTCGTTGCCTCTCACATGTGCCCTGACCAGGAACTGAACTGGTGACCTTTTGGTTTGTGGAACAATGCCCAGCCCACTGAGACACACCAGTCAGGACTATTTACTACTTACCTTTCATGCTGAATTAAGTTCAAATGGACTAGAAATAATTACTAATTGAGAGATACTTCATACTTTGTTATTTTTCTAGTTTTCTCTCTTCAGCGGTAGCTTTACTTTATAGATATGTCTTAAAATCAATTTATTGAGTAAATTGTTTGGAAACTGAAGTGTTAAAACTATATAGCCCTTTAAATAAAACTCTAAGTACAGGTTTAAGTCCCATCTAGGAGGGGACTGCTGATAGGAACAGTAAGGTAGAACACAAGAATTTCTTCCCTGTTTTTGTCACAGATTCCCAGTGGTTGAGCTCCACAGATTCTCCTGCAGTTCCTGTGGGGTAAGATCAGAGTAGGGACTCCCACAAAGCAACCCACAGTGCTGGGGGTCACTGATTGTCTCACTTGGGCTCTCTTTTCTCACTAGGGGAGGTGGGGGCTCAGGAAAGACCTCTCTGTGGTTGCTGGGCTAGCCTTGGGGTGAGGCAATGTGGTCAACATGTAGCTGCTTCTCTTATCCTCCTAATGTAGTCTGTCTTGTTTGTTCTTTGTGGTGCAGGGGGTGCTTCAGCCTTACTCCTGTTTTCAAGGATTCTCTCAGTGGTGTCTTGTTCTTGAGTAGTTGTTAGTTGTTGTTCTTGTGAGGGATAGTAAAGTTAGGAACAACCTATGTTGCCATCTTGGTGATGTCACTCTATCCTCTTCCCTCCTTTGTCATTAAAATAGGTTTTAGAGTCCCTGGCTGGCGTAGCTCAGTGGATTGAGCGCAGGCTGGGAACCAAAGTGTCCCAGGTTCGATTCCCAGCCAGGGTACATTCCTGGGTTGCAGGCCATAACCCCCAGCAACCGCACATCGATGTTTCTCTCTCTCTCTCTCTCTCTCTCTCTCTAAAAATAAATAAATAAAATCTTTAAAAAAAAAAAAAAGAAATGTCTAAAATTTAAAAAAAAATAGGTTTTAGATATAAATATGTGATGGTTATTTTTGGCATCTTTTCTTTCTGTACTTTTTTTTCTACCTTCTATACTTTTTCTACAGGCACAGTTACCTTATGTTCACTTTATATTTTAATTTTAGTTTATCACTTGTTTGCTATGTTATCTACCCTCAAATTACTGTAGCCTCTAATCTGTAAATTTTCTAAATCAACAATATAGCGTTAGACAACCTGAATTAGGACAATGTCAGAATCAGGGAATTATTGAGGAGTTAGAATTCAATAGGAAGATAGGTTGTTAATACAATATAGTAAAAAGATAAGTTAATAATTTGGTATTTGTTGAAATTCACAGATAATATACATTGTAATACACATTGTGACATAAATAGGGGTAGAAAAAGGAATGCTTATTTCAAATAGTAAGTGAACATAGAAGTCTGTACATTTGACACTCATTGATCAGTTTACAAAAACCAACTCCTGATACCTTAAGCAACAAAAAGTTATGAGTCTGTGGGATCGTATCAAGGAAACCAAAGATGAGAATGAAGGAAAACCTCAGAAGGTAGCTAGGACTTGGAAAGCCGTTATGACTTTCTCTCTGTATCATCATCTCTATTTTTCTGTTCACCTGCTTCATTTGCTTCTCCATCTATAGTTGGCTCTCTCACTTTTTGTAGCCTATAGCATTTTCAATTCTTGAGTTTACATGTTACAGTTCCAGCCACACAAAGAGTTAAACTGAAAATCACTGCATCCCAATTTCAAAATACTGGGAGAAAGAATATGACTATCTCACATGAGAAAGGATTTAACATCTATTAGTGGCCCAGTGACCCATGGGCATGGTTAGAGTGATATGGCATCTAGGTGACCAATGGGAATGCAGTTCCTAGAATGCATGGTGTTGTGAACTGGGTAGGCAGATACTTTAAAGGTGTCTGCTACATAGTCCTCATTATTTTGAATTACTGGTTTGGAAAATAATACCAGTTTAAAACAAGAGTTGATTTTATACTAGTACTTTTCAGAGGAGAAAATAGTAACTCTAAATTCAGATGTTCCTAAGGCAGTTGTAAAGCAGCAGTTAACTCTATTACCAGTGTTTTGATTGGGTAGTTGCTATGTTCTCACAGTGGTCTTCAGTGTCGAGAATCATGTACTTTAGGACACAGTGAGGTATATGTATTTTTACTTGTTTGCCTGATTTAGTTTGACACCAGCCACCCAATTTGATTTTTATGGACATTACTAACAACAAGAAATATCTTAAGTTGCTGTTATCAAAGGATGTGTTCCACTGATTTTCTCTGCTTGTCTTTCCAGGGAGGAGCTTTATCTTTATACACTGCTCTTACCACACAGCAGAAACTGGCAGGTGTCACTGCACTCAGTTGCTGGCTTCCACTGCGGGCTTCATTTCCACAGGTAGTCTAATTGATACATCCAATATTAGATTACTGAGCTAAGAGATAGGAAATAATGTGGGAGAGAGGGTCTTTTTTTAAATAAACTTTACCTTTTTTAGAGCAATTTTAGGTTTACAGCAAAATTGAGTAGAAAGTACAGAAAGTTCCCATATACCCACACTCATATACATGTACCCATATACCCATACATGCACAGCCATGGTTGATCTGCAGCACAGTGGCACATTCATTATAATCAATGAACCTGCATTGACATATCATCATCCAAAACCCATAGTTCACATCAGTTGTCTTTTTTCAGAAAGAATTTCCTTAGATTTTTGTGATCTATTACTAGTCTTTATGGGTACACTACATTGTCTTCATTGTGGAATTGTATAGAATGGAATAAGAAATAAGTCCTAGTGTCAGAAATCTTATATTTCAGGTATTTGATACATTTTTAAGATATATATACATATACACACATACACACACATACATACGTACATACATTACAGATTTTTTACACATAGAAACAGTATTTTTGGATGTTCAGTATGCTCATTGCTTGATAGCAGATTTTGCTATATAAAATATAATTTCTAAATGATCAATAGTATAGAGCAGAATATAATATACATAGGGGATATAGACTTTATTTTCAAATTCATCTTTAAGTTTAGGGTTTTCTCTTGTCACTATATAGTTACTCTTTGGTGTCTTGTATATAGTAAGTGCTGTTTATTAACTATCTTATTTAAATCAATCAACAGCTGAGAAAAACATGGTTCAGCTAAAAACATACCTCTCATGCCAGGACAGTGCAGACAGATAAAAAATAGAATTTGCTTCAAAGAACCAATTCATCGGGAAAACATATAATATATGACATGGTAATCATATATCATATAACTGTTTAAATCAAAAGATGTGCAGAATATAGGGATGGAAGGAATTTTATTTCTGTGGCCAAATATAACCTATAATGTAAGTAATAACATGTTACATGCACATATCTATCTGTAGTTTAAACATCTGGCATAATGCTGTACACATTTGAATAAATAATACTAGCTTTGTTTTGTTTTTTTTGCAGGGTCCTATCAGCGGTGTCAATAGAGATATTTCTATTCTTCAGTGCCATGGAGATTGTGACCCTTTAGTTCCTCTAATGTTTGGTTCTCTTACTGTCGAAAAGCTGAAAACATTGGTAAATTCAGCAAATGTAACCTTCAAAACGTATGAAGGCCTGATGCACAGTTCATGTCAACAGGTAAATTTTTAGAAACAGCGATTAGAGAGACATAATTTTCCTCTTTTTCCATGTGATATTTTAAGATAAATGACATTTGACTGTTTGGGGCTTTATAGGATTTAGTTAATGAATTCACACTGACTCATTTGATTTAGCAGGAGCTAGATCAAAGTTTATTTAATTTAATTGAACACATTTACTGATTTACTATTTTATATGCAAACATTATACTTAATTCTAAGACAAAAATTCTCTTTCATTAAAATTTAGAAAAGATTAAAATGAAAATTTTAATAGGTGAGAGGATATATATCCAAGTAATTATATAGAAAGCAGAATGTGGTATGCATTATATTAAGAGTTTTTTAAAAGTTATTTGAAAAACTGAGGAGAGTGAGATTAATTTTATCTTAGGAGGTACTGAGATCATGATGAAAGAACTAGATTTTTACCACTGAGTGGGATTTGGATAGTAAATGTGTTGAGAAAGGACTGTAGGACAGGACATGCAAGCTATTTGGTTGGGCAATAGGCTTATGAAAAGCTAGAAGTCATAGAACAGAGACAGAGAAGACAGACTTTTTTGTAGAGAGCTTTTATTTTGTGCTGAGGATGGACTTGTTCTCTAGGCAGCAGAAAACCATTGACTTTTTTTTTTTTTTAATCAAAGCAAGGTATAATCTACACTCTGGAAATGAATGAAGTAGCATCCATTAGGATTAGTGACTACTTCTATGGACTAGGAAAGGAAGTATTGTTGAAGCCTTAGATTTCTAGCTTAGATGACTATGAGGATGCCATTCATAAAATAGGTACGAGGAAGAGTTTTAGGGTAATAGGAGGGAGATACTCGTATACTGAATTTAGTGAATAGACTAGGATTGATATGCCCCCATAATATCAGGGATATTGTATATTCCTAGTATCCCATCCTGAAACTCAAGCCTGTAGTAGAGATTTAGAATAATTTACCCATATTATTGATCAGTGAAGAATTACCATGGGAGAATATAATGAGAAAAAAATCCAAGAGATAGAACTGCTGTAGGGAAGTTAGAAAAATTTAGGTGTTGAATGAGAGTTCAGAAGAAGAGAATTTCTGAAGGGATGGGAATATTAACCCATGATTCAGAGAATGATTAAGGAGAAATAGGACAGGAAGAAATTATCCAATAGTAAGGCATCCGTGACCTCAGATGTTTAGGGAGATAGAGCCAAACTACAGTGGGTAGTGTGAAGTAGAGAGTGAATGAGGAAGTAGAGGCAACACATATAAACCTTTTTTTAAAAAGGTTTTGGTAAAGGGGGAAGAAACTAAGAAGGTTCTTTTTTAATAAGATTGGAGAAGATAATTAATTGATGGGGTGAAGTCTTAGCAAGATCATATAATTAAGCCCTGAAATGAGGAATGGTTGCCTTAAAAGAGAAAAACACTTGAATCAGGATAGAAGAGGATGGATGAATATGAATGGATTGTTGAGTTATAGAAGAGAGTAGTTGAGAGCCCACATCAGATCCTCTTAATCTTTTCAGTAGAGTTGTGGTCACTTAATAAGGATGGAGGAGGACTGAATAGAATTGGAGGCTTAAAAAGGCCTAGAATTTTTAAGAAAAAGCATTGAGGCAGTTTATTTTAACATTGTTTTGCAACTAACTTCTCAACCTGGCTAGGGTGTTATTGAGACTATATTTAAACTGTCATAGGTTGTTTGCTTTTGTACTTGTTGGTCTACAGACTTTTTGTAGCGTTACTGAACAGAGATGGCATAGCCGCAATTTTCTAGAAGTTCTTTTAAAATAACCTTTTGTTTTTTTATTGAAGCTGTAAAATAAAGTAAGGAAGGAAGGAAGGAAAGAATACAGAGAGACGAAGGAAAGGAAAGGGAAGGAAAAGGGAATGAGGGAAAGGAACTGTTATGAAATACCGAATCCATAAAGAGAGCTGGCACTCTGAGCATCTAGGAGGGACTGAAGGTCTAGAGCAGAGGTTTTCCAAGTAGACTTTGTATCAAAAGGACCCCAGAGCTTAATACCATACAGACCCCAAAACTTCAAACTCTGATTCTGATTCAGTACATTGGGAGTTTGGGGTTGAACTTAGACATCTTTGTTTGTGTGTAGATGTTTTTAAAATGAAAGCTCCTTCTGATTCTTTGTGTGATCGCATTGGAGGATACTAGGGTGAATGATTAGGAGCAGAAAGTGAGAAGAGGTAGAATGGTAGGAGGTGGTGTTACAGGAAATTTATAGGACTTCAGAGGGTTGTAAAATAGGCTGCTTTTGTGCTGTGGCTTTTTTTTTTTTTCCTGAGTGACTAAATTACAAGGTTGAAGATTCTCTGCATTGCTTATTTGTGGGTCTGTGAGGCCAAGCCTTGAAATAATAGAGAAGATAGGAGGGAATGAAATGTGTTTGGGATAAGTGACAACTGTGAGCCAGATGTAGGGGTCTTCTAGGAAAGTTTTTTCTGTAATAAATACTTGGTATATTAATTTTCATATCTTTCCAGGTTTATCTTAGGTACATGCTCTCTTTTAGATGGTTGGTTACATTTAAATCCTTAGTGCAGGGCACAAAATATTTTATGCTGTGGATTTAGCATTTTATTCTCATGAGAGTGTTAAAAGCTAGGCTTTTCCATGTATACATAATTGGCAGTTGCTGTATACTTCATGAGACTTCTCAGTATAGATACTGTCACTTTTAAACACCTTTCATCTCTCCTCACCCCCGCGTGTTACTTGTTCAAGTATAGCAAAAATTCAGACCATTTTCATGGCAGTAGATACTAGATGTGAGCCGTCATTGAATGTACAATAATAATAAGAAATGATCTGAAAGTTCTATTGGAGTTCCTTTCTGTGTTACAACTTTTTATTTCATTGTAGTAGTAAAAATGTGGTTTCACTTTATTGTATACACACCATGGATTTTAGTCGGGATTTAATTTCTGATTTGTGTAACTGCTTTTTAAATCACTTTATTTCAAACAGGAAATGATGGATATCAAGCATTTCATCGATAAACTCCTACCTCCAGTTGATTGACACCTCTAAGGGGCCTTGTGTAGAAGTACACACCAGCATTATTATAGTAGAGTATAAACCTTTTCCTGTGCCCAATCTTGAAACTTATAAATGTTTGCAGTGTTAAAATGTTTTGCAAATACACATCAGTGACACAGATTAATATCTCTTCATGGGAAATTTATGATCTATTAAGTTTCAATACATGTATTTGTATATGATCCAGAATATACTAGCATTAAAATAAGTGAAGCAGCTAGCTCTTTTTCCCAAATGTAATTTGGTAAAATAATAAAATGCTGCAACCAGGTTTTCTATTACATTATTTGAAAATTATTAGTATGCTAATGAAAACTTGTTCAGGTATAAATGAGTGGTTAAAATATAAACTACTTATGAATGCTATACTTAGTCTGTGAACTTATTCCCAAAATACCTAGTCACCATGCAGTATCTTTATTTTTTATATATATATTTAGATTAACTCGATCATTATAATAAATAAAAAGAACGAAGCGTAATTACCTTATTCCTAATAATAGGGATATTACTACTAAGTGTCAATAAAGAGTAATATTGCTCTCTTCACTTAATGGCCCTTTTATTTTGGGGACCAGGCTTTTCTTTCCCTGTTACAATTTCTTAATATTCGATTTTCCTCTCTGGAAAAGCAGTGTATTTTCTTTTTATCCTTCAAAGTAGACCAATATTGCCTATTTGCCGTAGACATCTGCTGTGAATACATGCTGTATTGATAATTGGACATTCTGACTCACAGACATGGTGGTATTTAAGATGTATTTATACTTATATAAAGAAACCAAACATCACTTCAAACTTCCTACATTACTTATTTTTTGAACTGTACCTTAGTCCAAAGTTAGACCTATATAGTTATTAGAATCTTCAGTCCAGATAGGAATAATTATGTGGTTGTATTTTTCTGCAATTCAGAGAATTACTAGGTCATATTCTAGTATGTTCTGGAATATTTAAGACTGATCTTAAAAACTAATTTCTAAAATGATTTGCTCTAAGATGATTCTCCTTGTAGCATAGAGTTTTAGTTTACATATTTTGTACATATGTTTGAAATCACCTACTGTAGGAAATGAACAATCCATTAGAAAAATTTGTTTTACTTTTATCTGCAATGGACTTATTTGAAATTTTCATTTTAGCAGATGATTTTTTAAAAATTAGTTTTTGTGCAAAGATAAAAGGAGCAATTATTTTAAATAGTTGAATCTTTTAGATTATTGGTAAAAACTATTTGAAAATGAATTTATCAGTTTAAAGGTTAATCAGAACTCAGTACATATGGGACAGTTACCACACGGTTTAACATGTAGCAAAAATATACACTTCATTTTTCTGAACTATTAATTTTTATTCTGTGTTCCAACTGACTAAAACAGTGTTAGGAATGCGTCTTTATAAATGGGTGCTAATTGATAATAGAAATAATTTAGCAATGGATTATATAGAATGTTAATAATGAAGCCATATGTTTATGTCCAGATTTAAAATTTTTAAACATTCAGTAAGTCATTTTGATTTACCTTTATGAATATAAACTTGTTTCAGTTATACAAATCAGCAAGATATGATTTATGGCAAGAGATATTCTGTTGAAGTGTGCTGTAATGTGGGAAAATGTAAATCTTTTCCACAGTTTCTATCAATGTGAAATAAAATTTAATTCTGACTTCTGTGACTGCTTTTTTTTTAATATTATTTTTAACATTTGGGTTTGCCTTGGAATGACTGTCTATAATGAAAAACAGGAAAAGGACAATGTGATCACAAGAATATACATTCAGAGAGAAATGGAATGGATCTAGGCATGAGAAAAGCTTCCCTTTCTATGCAATTTTATTAAGCTAAAAACATTCTTAATTTATTTTTTAGTGTGCCTAACTTATTTAAGAAGTTTTACTTGGTGTTTCCTTTTGTCTCTTCCTTTTTTGTATAGTATTCTTGGGCTTTTAAAATTAGTGTCATAAATCAGTTATGTAAATAGTTTTTTCTCCTTTAAAAAACATTTTCAGTTACAGTTGACATTCAATATTATATTAGCTTCAGTAAATTAACATACTGGTTAGACATTGACATAACTTATGAAATGATGCCCCCAACAAATCTTGCACCTGCCTGGCACCATAGTTATTACAGTATTATTGACTATATTCCCTAAACTGTACTTTACATTGCTGTGACTGTTTTGTTTCTGCATGTTTGTATTTCTTAATTCCTTCACCTTTTTCACACAGCTGCACAATCTCCCTCCCATCTGGAAACCCATTTTCTCTGTATCTATGAGTTTGTTTCTGTTTTGTTTTTTAGATTCCACATACAGATGAAAGCACTTTTTTTTTCTTGTTTATTTCACTTACCATACACAATACTGTCTAGGTCCGTTCATGCTGTTGCAAATAGTATGATTTTATTCTTTTTAAAATTTATTTTTTAAGATTTTATTTATTTTTAGAGGTGAAGGAAGGGAGAAAGAGGGAAACATCAATTTCTGGTTGCCTCTCGCACGCCCCTGCTACTGGGCACCTGGCCTGCAACCCAGGCATGTGCCCTTACAGGGAATCCAACCTGGGAGGGACCCTTTGGTTCTCAGGTCGGTGCTCAATCCACCGAGCCATACCAGCCAGGGATTTTATTATTTTTTTATGGCAGAATAATATTCCATTATACATTTGTACTACATCTTTTTTATGCATTGAACTTTTAAAAAGTTATTAAATCTATTGGGCTGATAATGATTAATTAAATTATATAGACCTCAAGCATACAATTCATATGCTTGGGGCGTGACTACCCATCATGATCTGCCTAGTTAGGATTTATGATCCGTATCACCCTGTGAGGTTACTTTCCATAGAACCCCTTGTCCACAGGTAAGTCGTGGGTTTTGACTAATGGTTAAATTTGATCTGGGAATATGTCTGCAAATAGCATGAGGTGGTAGTAAAAGCTGCAATTGGGATATTGGAAGAGCTCTCCGGTATTAATATATATTAATTTTGTGCCTCGGCTTAGTTTTGTTAGTCATAATTCTTAAGGATGTCAGCTCCCTCACTGACTTTCAGAAACAGGAGAGATGCCTTATTTCTCTGCTGAAAAAGTGTTAATTATCAATCAACTATACTCAAAATATTATATCCGACATTCTGACTCAGGAAACAAGATTGGGTCTCAGTCTTTTAAGGAACTTACAAGCAATTTAAATTTTAAAAAAGCAAAACTTAAAAAAAAAGATCAAATACATAGTATGATGGGCTATTTAGGGTAGTGCGTGGGGGGTCTGTTTTTCAAGGTAGCCGGTTGCCACGGAGAAAATTCTGGGGTTCCACTGACTTGAAAAACCGGCAACATTTCATTCTCTGAACCCACCTCCGTTCAGAGTTCCGTGGGCCCTGCAGGTCCCAAACCTCAGGGTTGTTCCAGGAGACCCAGCGTGGGTTCACGCTCCACTCCACGTGGAGGCGGCACCGGAGGCGAACGCGCGCCAAAAGTCTCCCAAGCCTGCGATCTTTGACAGCTGCCTGGCGGGAAACACTGCAGCGGGACTCACTCCCCGGCACAACGACGTCTCCCTCGCTGGCGCTTAAGATCGCCACTTCCCAAAGATCCGACGTCGATTGGTAGCGCCTGCGCGGAGCTTGATTGGCACCGCCTGCGGGGCGGAGCTGCGGACGCCGTCGCCGCCGCTCGCTCGGTTCTTGAGGAAGGGCCTAGGCCGACTCGAGTCCCGCGGTGGTTTCTGTCGGCGTTTCGCCCACTTCCCGCCTAAGCGGGCTGGGCGCGGGGACTACCTACCGGAACCATGGAGGACGAGGTAGTCCGTATTGCCAAGAAAATGGACAGGATGGTGCAGAAGAAGAATGCGGTGAGCGCGGCGGGCGGCGCGGGCCGGGAGGGAGGCCGCGGGCGGGGACGCGGTGGGCCTCCTGGCCGGGCCCCACGGGTCTCCTGGCCCGCCCAAGACAACCCTCCTTCCGTGGAAAGCCGGCGTGGACTGCGCCCGCATGGTGGAGAAGCCGTCCTGAGGGTGGTAGTGCGGACGCGGGGTCAGAGGCGTTTGGACCGGTTCTTGGTACTTGGAAGTCCCTCGTTGTTAGTACCCCGTAATAAACCTAATCGAGGCATTCTCTCTTTTTATTTTAAACTTTAGTGGTAGTAAATCCTTGCTAATTTAGCCTACGAGTTGAGGAGTATATAAAGCCCTCACTTTTTAAATAGAATTCATTCTCTTTTCGGTGATCGTTGGCTAGCAACTACAAATAACATTAAGTAGAGTTTCGTGGTCTGCTGAGACATCAAGCTGATAAGTGTAAAATTCCTGGACCTTATTTTTGAAGAAGGCTAAACATTCACTTGATTATCTCAACTACGTACGTTTGTTTAACGATTAAAAAGGGCAAACATGCCAGTAAACTTGGCAGGTTGCTAAATGTCTTTTAAACAGTGGATCTTGTTAGGTGATCGTATGTGTAAACGAGCTATGACTACAGCACACATATTAACTACGGTATGCTGGTGGATGAATTTGGACAAATGTCATCACTGGGCATGGTCTAAGTGGTTTACAGTTAATACCGGTGGCATTATCTTGTTATTTGTTGTAGATAATGTGTTTATGTGAACATGTTCTCTTGTGGTTCGTTTGAGATGTGTCTTACAGTTTCTGCAATTTGGTCTACCTGTGTGTGCCACTTTAAATCCCTTCTTTCGGAATCATCTGTTTTCAGACAGTTGTCTTTACTTGATTTGTTCCTCTATGGTCAGCACATTTTTCATATTAGTGTACCTGAAATAATCTATTCCTATCAATGGAATAAATTCCGTGCCAAACTAACGTGAAGGAGAATAGGGATGCTCTGATTTGTACAGTACTTTGCAGTTACAAAGCTGATGTGCAGATTTCTTTTGCTGCAACACAGCTGTAGCGTATCTGTTTTACAGAAAAAGAAACTGAGTCAGAGATACTGTGCAGTTTGGATTAAGCCAGAATCCTGGTTTTCTGCGGGACAGCATGCTAGAGCAGGAAGTAGTGTTAACTCTGAATTCTTAAGACTTCATACTCTGTTCCTCTTTTTCTTTAACAGGTGCATCGTCTAGTGTTTAATTTTGTACCCTGTTAATCTGTATTTGAAATTTGGCTTTTTAAAGTGTTTCCTGTTTGTTTACTGTTCCAGATAGTACTTCTGCCATTTATTTTTTCCTGTTGATTTCCCTTTCATTCCCCACTGCAAGAGATGAGTTCTAGTTATCTGATAGGCTGAACATTTATTTCTGTTATTTTGTTTAAACTCGAAAGTTTTTTTTCTTTTCTTGGAGATCCCCAGACTCCCACAGTAGAAGGTTCCAGGGAAAAAGTCTGTTTTGGAGGTAATTTTTTCTCTACCTCGGGCTATAATGTGTATCCTTTAATCATCTAACTCATTGTATTTTTTGTTTTTGTTTTGCTTTGTTTGTTTCTGTTTCTTGTAATTGGTGTCTCCTAAAAATGACTAATTCCTTAGAGGGCAAGTATGAAGATCAATTTGTATTTATTTGCAGTTTTCAAGTTATAAATGTATTTTCAGATCTTTGGAAAATAGTCTTGGGGAGAATAAGTGTAAATCTTACAGATAATTCTCATCTCATTTTTAATAGTTCAGAACTTTACCAGTTTGAAAACTTGCCTCCCCCAAAAGAATGGTAAAATTGGCTGGCTCTTTTACATTTTTCTTGTCTCCTTTTCTATTTTACAGAAATTCAAATAGGCAAATGAAATAATGAGAAAGGGAAATGGTCTGAATGACTGTTCTCCCCTGCCACCCCCAAAAAACCAAGTGTTCAGTAATTTAACAGAAATTGTTCTTGGGGTTGTTGAATTATGGTTGTTTGTTTCTCTTTTCTTGTGGTTTCCAGCTTTTCTCTGTGAGCTATTTTTATATTATGAAAAAGTAAATTTTGCTTGAAAAGTAGCTTGTCCTTCCAACTGACAGGTTTAAGTGCTGTTACTCGATATTGTTTGAATAAAACCGTAGGTGTCATACTTAAGTAAGTAAAAACAACTATCATTTATTGAGCTATTACTCTGAGCCAGGCATTCTACTAAGTACTTATCTTACCTTATCTCACTTATTTATCAGACAGTTTTGCAAGGTAAGTATTAACCCTATTTTAAAAATGAGGAAATTATTCAGAAAGTTGAGTAAATTGTCCTAAGCCAAATAGCTAAATAGTGGTCAGATGAAGATGTAAACTTAAATCTGTTTTGCTCCAAAGAGAGTACTACTATTTTGTTAAGCTTCAGTCCCTCAGTAGAAGACCCTTGCCAGGTAGTAGTTTTTGAACCTTGCATGGTGTCAATGAAGGGTTGTTGCCACCAGTCCAATGCCAACAGGAGTCTCAGTTTGGGGTGCTGCGAAGGGAGAAACAATTCCAGTGACACAGCTCAGTTGACACAGCTTGCAAACTCTAGAAATGCAGTCTTCAGTAGAAACTGAAAATGGGCACCTGGAAGACAGAGGGAAGGCTGTCTTATATAGAGAAAAATTGCTGCCCCACTCCCCAATATGTGATTGGTCTACTTTCATGTAAATAAAGACTCAAAATTCCCCCTGTTCTGATTGGATGTGGAAAATCTCAGTCCCATTGGTGAAATACAACACCAGGAGCTGCTGCTGCTGCTTTTTTTTTTTTTTT